AACGTACATAAATAGCTAATTAAATGTAAACATTTACAGCAAATATTTTTTTAAACATGTCTTTAGTTGCAGATCCTTCTTAAATATTTCATGATATATAATTTTAATACGATTAATTTTGACTTGTGCCATTTTTAGGCCCCAGGTTATAACACCACTTTCAAACCAGGGTCTTTAGCTGCATACGAATATCCTAACGGTTCTGAATGGCAGAATATGTTTGCCAAAGGATTATTCAAGGATCCGAGGTTAAATAGTTAATTAACTTTAAGAATTAAAATACCGAAATAAGAAAAAAATTACGTTTATGTATGTACAGAATAATCATAAATATTAATTATTGTAAATAGTTCCTAAGAATCCATAGAAATTAATAAAGTTTCTGCTTAAATAAATAATCACTTACGTTTTTGTAAATCTAAAGCAGTCCAATTTCCTTTGTTTGTCTTTCGGCTTTTCACTCTCCTCCCTCGACGAATCTAAGTCGGGGTTTTTTCTTTTTTCTGAGGGCTAAAGGGAAAGAAAACAGACAATTAAAATACATATTAACAACAACCAGGTTAATTTTCTATGAATTACTTTATTTGAATAAGTGTTATCATTCTCTTTATCCTTTTTCTTATTATTTAAGGTAGGTGATTGAGAATGCGACGAATTAGAATCGGGTTTTTTCAGGCTTTTCAAAAACGGGTTTCTCGGAGGCTCTTCTTCTGCGAATAACGACTCCTACAAAAATTGTTATTAACGATTATTTTAAAAGTAATACATATACCTATTGCATGTACAATAGCTTACCTGCGAGTCTATTGCGATTGTGTCGTTAAGTGTTTTATTGCTTGCAGTTGTATCTGTTTGGTCCTAAAACAAGAAGAATGAAATATAAATAGTATTAATGAGCCATCAAAGTGAGGACAGCCTGTACTATATGTCCTATGGGTCAGTTTATCAAATGATATAGGGAAACGGGGAAAGGTCTAACTAGAGCAGAAACTTTTATTACTACAAATTAGTCCAAAAAAATACCTGCGAAGAATCTCTTACAGCATCTACGTTATTTTCAGAACTCTACAAAAAAGAAATGTTATTAATTACCTAAATCATTTTTGTTTTCATAATNTCAATGTTTCCTAATTTACCTGAAAAGTCCACCAATATAAGTCCCAAGCACATATCCATTTGCCTGACTGGTCCCTTGTGGTACACCACAGCGACGGCGTGCCCTCTTGCGGCTAGGCAAACAATAGGCCCGGGAGTCTTGAAAACCCCTTTTTGTGTACTAAGAAGTACTGATTTATTTAATGTATTTTAAGACGGCTAAGTTTAATTTTAATAACAAAAATAATGTTTATTACATCAATTTTTTGTTCTTAAATTGTACTTTGAATTTTGCATTCGCCTTTAATTTTAAATAGGGAAGTTGTTTTTAATTGTAATTTTGATTTTTTTGATATCATTAGCACAGAGACCCGGATTTTTCTTGCGCATATGTGACGATAAGATTGGCCTCTGGTACAACAGGCAACGGTTTTACATTTACTTGCGGCAGAGGAAATGAAATCGTCGTTGCTGCCATAAAATCATTGTCATTTCTCGTTGTTGGGGCCACAGTTGTTGATATTTACAAAGATTTTGCTGCATTTTCTAGGTCATTGACGAACGAAACCCAGTTGAGATGGGTAAGTATCCTTTATAATTGCTTTTAATTAGCAAAATTTACTCATACTATATGCAATATAATAACTTATATGCCACGCGGGTTGTCTACCACAAGTTGCCGTTTTTAATTTAAAATAAAAAGTATTACCAGTGGCGTAACTAATAAGAGGGAAAATAAGGTTGCGGAATAAATACTTGACTTTTGAGCAAAAAATGTTAAACTATAACATTCAGAAATTGTTTAAATAATGACTAACTACGTTTTTAAAAGAGCTAAGTAATATTTTTCCCTAAAAATTATTTAATTTCTATTTAAATTTGAAAGCATTAAGTAGGTATTAATAAAATGTTCAATTTTATTAAGCTTGGTCCCGAAAAAGGTGTAACTCACTTAGCTACTGCCGCCATACTTAATGCACTTTGGGATTTATGGGCTAAACTGCTTAAAAAACCAGTGTGGCGCCTTTTAGTCGATTTACCTCCCGAACAACTAGTTTCAACGATCGACTTTAAATATATTAAAGATGTGATTACAAAAGAGGAAGCTATCGAAATACTCAGGAAAGCACAGGATAAAAAGGAAGAAAGGATTAAAAAAATTACTGCCGATGGATATCCTGCATACACATCACAAAATGGTAACATTGAAAGCTCAAATTTTACCTGAAATACGTAATACATGAATAAGTAGGTTTAAATTAATAAATTTTTGCTCTGCACATAACTTTTTATCAACTCCTACATTTGAAACTATCAAAAAAAATGTTTTTATCTTGTTATCATAAAAATACTAATTGTAAAAAAAATCTCAATTTTCCCTCAGGCTGGATTGGTTACTCAAAAGAAACATTAATTGAACTCACTGAAAAATATAACGACCTTGGATTTAATCACTTTAAAATAAAAGTTGGATTAAATTTGGATGATGATATTCGTCGCTTAAAAATTGTCAGAAACATTATAGGATGGGATAAAAAACTTGTAAGTTCTCGACGCAAACATTACTTCCTAATTGCTATTAACTACATACATAAATTAATATGTTCAAAATAGATTGTTATAATATTTATAATACTGATTATTTTTATGAATTAATAAATTATGCAGAGTATTGACGCCAATCAAGTGTGGGATGTAGAAGAAGCAATACCATGGGTTAAAAAGCTAGCAGGGTTTAAGTTAACATGGGTTGAAGAGCCGACCAGTCCAGACGACATTCTCGGTCATGCCACTATCTCCAAAGAACTAAATCCCCTAGGAATTGGGGTTGCCAGTGGAGAAATGTGCAGTAATAAAGTATTGTTTAAGGAATTCCTATTAACCGATGCCATACAGTATGTTCAAGTGGATCCGGCCAGACTTGCTGGTATTAACGAAATATTAGCCGTATATTTGATGGCCCACAAGAAGGGAGGTAAGTAATACATTATTTTTGAAATTAGAGCTATAGTTTTTGGAGAAATTATTAGTTAAAATTTAATGTTTTCTTGACTGCAAATCCTTTGATTTAAAAAAAAAAGTAAAAACCATAATATGAAAGTACATCCCAGCTAAAGTGACATTGTTTTTTAAAATTAGTGAAAGTCGTTCCTCACGGGGGTGCCCTGGGACTAGGGGAGATGATACAGCATTTACAAATCTGGGACTACGTCTCCCTTTCCGGAACCACCGAAGACCGTTACGTAGAATACATCGATTTGCAACATGAACATTTCGTTAATCCTGTATCAGTCAAAAATGGTCGTTATGAAGTCCCTACGGTACGTAATAAAAAAATACTAATTACAGTAGACACCCGATATTGTGAACCGAAAGAACAACTGCCCATACATTTGAAGCATCTATATCTCTATCTATAAACAAAAAATATATAAGGGACACAACAATAAGGGCGAAATGTCGATTTTTATGACCAACGGACATTTGTTTCTATAAGCGAAGGTATCGTTTGTGGTGTCACATTATGCAAGGTTTCTATTATAAGATGTTCACACTATTGTGTGTCTACTGTATAAGCCTACACATTGATGAACTTAAATAGTATAGATAGATATTTATGTAACTTTTTATTACAGACTCCCGGTTATAGCACCACTTTAAAAGACGATTCCATACTAAAATACGAATATCCCGTTGGGACCGAATGGGAGAGCATGTTTAGCAAAGGATTGTTCCATGATCCACGAAAGGCCCCTTCAAGAAGGACGTCTGCGATAAAGTTGTAAATATATTTCGATATGTTGTATAGTGTATATTAAAAAAAAAAGAGGAAAAAAATATTACCTCAGATGTATTAATTTGCTGTATTATACTATTTGAACATTTTATTAGATTCGTAGTGTAAATAAGTACGTTATATTGACAGTTACACGACGTCAAAAATAAAAGTTTTACTCGTTAAGATTTTCTTTTTTTGTAGTTTCTATCGTTAGCGACGATGTAGGTGATGCATTAAAATGCAAAGTGTGATATTTTTGTTTGTCTAATATTCTACAAGTACTACTGCTAAATTTATCTACAGTGTTACATAAAAAATATTTTAACTTGCACTCTGTTAAAAACGACAGAGCTGAGTATTTATTAGCGCACGTGTTTAAATAAAACTAATATAAAACACACGGTGTACAGAAAAGTGAAAACAACATATTTGAAAATAACCGTAAGAAAAGATTTTTTTTTATTTAGTGCATATAATAGTTATGTTCTGAACCTGCGCTAGTTATGTCACACAATCGAATGTCAACTGCATTTACATCCATTCTTGTTAATAAAAATAAGGCCAAACTCCCACCCCTCAAATATTTCATTACAACTTAAAAAGTTATGTGAGCCATAACTGACAACAACTTCTCCCCACAGTATCCCTTCTTTTATAAGTACATAATTTTTTTTGTTTAAAACTCCTAAATTCTTCGCTGTACCCCCTGTATATAATTGTTTATGTGACCTGCAGTGTAAAAGATTAACATACTCGATACTATAATAAAAGATAAAATCCAAGGGCAACAAATTTGAACAAATATAACGGATCGGTGAAGAGGTAAGCAGTGTTTTATGAAAATTGCACTATGTCTGATGTAAAAATTGTGTCTTTGGAGAGTAAGGATGTGAGATTCCCAACGTCACTGGGTGCTCATGGGTCCGATGCTATGGTAAGAAACTTCCGGTACCTGGCATTTTTTGATTATGAAATTCGTAACAAGTTTTTTAACATAAAGAGCTCTCAATTACGAAAATAATTTGTAGTTACATAAATTCATTTAACAACTTTTTTCTTTGCCTAATTATAGGATAATAAAAGGCAATAATTTTTAGCATAAGGATCCCGATTACTCTTGTGCCTATGTCATATTAAAAACAGAAAATGGTCTGGAAGGTAACGGTTTAACATTTACTTGCGGAAGGGGTACAGAAATTGTTGTTACTGCTATTAATACATTATCAACAATAGTTGTTGGAAAATTGGCCGGAGAGATTTTTAACGATTTCGGAAACTTTTGGAGATCACTAACCAGCGAAACACAAATAAGATGGGTACGTTAAGAAAACAATTTATTATTATGTAAATGTATCTCGCACTTTCTAAAAATAAAGAAGCTAAATAGAGCAACTGATAATGTACCGTACATTTTATCGTTCGGATTATTTATATTAAGTAAATGTTTTTGATGATAAAAATAATGAATGGGTAAATTTCATATTTAAACCTTTTATCTATGCAATATTTTGTAATTATTTTCTATGTAACATCCTCTAAACAAATTTACAAGAAATAATATTCTTTTTTTAATGCAAATGTTGGGCAAAAAGTAATGAATATTAGATTTCCTGCTACGTGAGCTGCTCGAGTACAATATGGAAAAGGGGGCCCAGTTACCTAAATAATAGTTAAATTCCTGTTATAGTTAGGGCCGGAGAAGGGAGTTATGCATCTAGCTACAGCAGCCATTATAAACGCTCTTTGGGACCTTTGGGGTAAAATCGAAAAGAAACCAGTGTGGCGCTTACTGGCGGACCTAACACCCGAACAGTTGGTCTCAGTAATCGATTTCCGATACATTTCCGATGTGATTACTAAAGAAGAAGCCATCGAAATCCTAAGACAATCACAAACAGGAAAAGAACAGAGAATTCAAACACTTCTTACAGGGGGATATCCGGCCTACACAACACAAGTGGGTGGGTGAAATTTCTCAAATTTGATACGACCATATATATTTATATATACCAAGCTCGTCCTTAGGTTGGTTGGGATATACCGAGGAAACTGTAACCCGACTTTGCCATGAATATTTAGCTCTGGGTTACACGCACTTCAAAGTAAAAGTAGGTCAAAATATTGAAGATGATATCCGACGATTGAGAACTGTAAGAAAAATTGTGGGGCAGGACAATATTGTCGTAAGTGCCACTAAATAATAAATGAAAAATTTAAATTAACACTCCAGGATAAAAAAAAAATGTGTTGGTTTAGAGCATTGACGCAAACCAAGTGTGGGACGTTAACCAGGCGATAGAATGGGTTAAGAGATTAGCAGAATTTAAGTTACTTTGGATAGAAGAACCGACCTCTCCCGACGACGTTTTGGGCCATTTGGCAATTTCAAATGCATTGAAACCGCTCGGCATCGGCGTCGCAACGGGGGAAATGTGTTGCAACAGGGTTCTGTTCAAACAATTTTTACAATCTAACGCTATCCAGTACTGCCAAATCGACTCGGCAAGAATTGGAGGCGTTAACGAAATTCTCAGCGTATATTTAATGGCGAAAAAGCTTGGAAGTATGTTACGATTATATGTATCTATTTAACATAAAAAATATGCTTCTTGATCTTAAAAAGCGAGATAATGAAAAATTAAAAATAATTTTCTTTCTACATTTTTTTATAGTCAAAGTTTGTCCCCATGCTGGTGGGGTCGGGCTTTGTGAAATGGTACAGCACTTGCAGATGTGGGACTATGTGGCGCTTTCGGGAGACAAAGAGGGTCGATGGGTCGAATACGTTGATCAACAACACGAACATTTCGTTAATCCGGTTGTTATCAAAAACGCACATTATCAGGCACCATTGGTAATTAACGTACATAAATAGCTAATTAAATGTAAACATTTACAGCAAATATTTTTTTAAACATGTCTTTAGTTGCAGATCC